TCAAATACTGACCACGGAAATTATATTTAGTTGCGTAAAACTGGCCAGGTTTTTTAGTCGTTTTAAGAACATTTAAGTTTATGTACAAAACAAGGAATTTTTGTTTTACGGACATACATGGAAACATAATAAACTAGAATGTTCTCAAATTATCTTCGAGTGAAAGAATAAAAAGAATATTTGCGAACACTAAAAACCCGCCAAATTAACAAACAAACTAATTCTATTGGTTCAAAAAATACTCTGATTAAGCGAAATAAAATTCTAGGGTATTCTGTTAAAATGTTTCAGAAATTGTATTATTCACGTTTTGAGATTTCTAGTATTATTTTAAGAAAATATATTATTTGTTTACGAAAATAAATGTTTTAAATATATATTAATTAAATAGTTAAAATTTTAAAAGTTTATTATAAACCATAGATTTTATTAGTATATTCTTATTTCTTATTTTAAAAGAGATTGTATTCTTTATGTAAACGTAATTTTGTTATTTATCATAATGTATCTTTTAAAGCAATTTTAATGATTTAAACAAAGACTTGCAAAAATAATTGCGTTTTCAATGAAGTTATAACCGTTAAAGTTAATAAAACTAATTATGTAACAAACATATAATAAGTTTCTGGTTACTTAACACAAACATCGCATACAAAGTAACTCGTGGATGAGCAAGCATCGCGCCTAAAGTCACGACAGAACACAAATATATAATAGCAAATAATTAGATATAAAGAAAAGTTTCTAGATATTGGTTTACTAACTCTAATTATTTTCGCTTAAGTTGCCATTCTTAAAACTCGTTATACTTTTTTCTGCTTAAAATACTAATTAAAATTAAAAACCCACTCACTAAACATCATCAGCGATATTGTAAAGCAGTTTCGCTCCCTGGTCATTACGTATTTTTAACCTTTTTAATTGATTTCTATCTTGATAATTTAATTCCTATAGTAATTCAATGATTTAATTATTTCATTTGTTTATCTTACTAAGAAGAATCACTTCAAATATGTTAAACTTTTCAAACTACGCGAAACATAAAATAGGTATTAAAAAAATTAACTTTTTTATTTATAAAATAAATTAAGCTTAAGTAAAACTAAAACTTGCAAAAAGTTAAATAAAGAATATTTGTTTCCCTTTTAAACGATCGTAAGTTGTTACTTTATATAAAAAACATCGCTTAATTTTATAATAAAAAAGCGATGTTTTGTAAATATTTGTTCTAAATGTAATTTATTTAGCTTAAAGTTTTTTCGCGTTTAAAGATATTTTATTAGCCTACTTTTTTTTTTTTTTGTAATTGTCTCTCATCGGTCCAAATAATCTTTGTCGCTTTTTTTTTTTTTTTGCTTTTTAAAATGTTCTCAAAACGACTAAAAAATCTGGCCAGCTTTTCGCAACTAAATATTATTTACGTGGTCAGCAATCGAGAGCGATCGCTCCCGCTTCCGACCAAGCCTGATATATATATATATATATATATATATATATATATATATATATATATATATATATATATAAATACATATATATATATATATATATATATATATATATATATATATATATATATATATATATATATATATGGCCTTGTGATGAATAAAAACTGCGCGACGCATAAGCACGACGTGATTTTTGACGTCATTAAATTCTTTTTATTTGCTTTTCATATTTATCGACATTAACTGCATCAATTTACTTAATTACCTTAATTACCTTAATTAAATCATTAATGTAGAAATGTTATTATTTAAAAATGTTTTGGAATGTTGCGTTTTTTAAAATGTAAAAACATTTGTTTATTTTCTCGACGTTTGACACGTTTTCTATATAAAAGATATAATTCAGCGAAAAATTTTGCATATTTAACAATATTTAATAAAAGGTGCGCTAAAGTAAAAAGAAGAAAACATTACGTGGTTAAATATGAGAATTAATTTTTATTTTATTTTTTACGTTTATTGAGCCTTTTTCAAAGTGTTTGTGGAAATTCGCTTTACAGCGGTAGAAACCGGGTAACAAAACCAGGTTATATAAACTTATCAAACTATTGACGTTCTATTTTTCAGCTGCTGTTCTTGAGCACGCTTCGTTGAGTTTCGGTAACTTTTAACAAAAAAGCCATTGTTATTATTTAAGTAATTTATTTTGAGTTACTTTTTACAAAAATTTTAACAACTGTACCTTTTTATTGAATCAAGTAGAATATGTTTTAATATTAATCCTTTTATTTTTTTTTATTTGCGCTTACCAATTTTTAAAATGTTTCCTCGAAATTACTCTTAAATACTTTAAATACGTCTAACAGTTAATAAATATTTTTATATCTATGGAATAATTTTAAAACCTAACAAACCCCTGTAAAATAATTAAGTTAAAAATCTAAAACTAAAAGAAAGTATTTTTGTTCAATTTTATCGACAACTTTGCTATTGCTGTTAAAATGTTAGCTTAAAAAGATTTAAACTTTTTTTTTAATCTGAATATTTTCTACTTGTAAATAGCGCATATTTATTTTTTTTTGTAATTTTAACTTTTATATCAACAGCGTGCAGTTTTTAAAATACTTTATTAAATGTTAAAATAATCGTAAATTACTTCATTAAAATTCCGCTCAAAAATATCTTTAAATATACAAAACAAAAAATTTGTTGCTCGACGCAAATAGCCCTAGCTACACGCAAAATCGCCCTTGGACGACGTAAAATTCACATCGCCCGACGCTTTATCGCAAGGCCTGATATATATATATTTTTATATATATATTTATATATATACATACATATATACATATATATTAAGGTATATATATTTACATCTCCTAATATATATATATATATATATATATATATATATATATATATATATATATATATATATATATATATATATATATATATATATATATATATAAGGAGATATAAGCAATTAAATTAATGTACTTCCACATTAATTTAATTGCTTTGACATTTGGACGACAATAAAATGTAGCATAAGAGACAAGGTAAAAAAATTATAGTCGAAAGAGTTTTTTTTTTACCTTAAAAGTCTCTTTCGACTACACTATAAGGATATATATATATATATATATATATATATATATATATATATATATATATATATAAGGGTGTCCCAAAAAACTACATTCTTTGTAAAAGTCTGCTCTCAACCGTGCCAACATGACACTGTCTAAGGTCTGCAATTTTTTGCCAACCTCAGAATTTTAGATGTTAATTTTATTTGATATTTCAAACTTATTAAAAACAGCAAAACAAACTTTTAATTTTGAACTTTAAATAAAATAATTGAAAATAAAACAGCAAAATGAACATTTCAATTCTAACTAAATTTTTTAAAAGAAAAAAGAAAAAAAGAAAATGAAACAAAATGTTTTATTAAAATTCAAAATGAAAACAAATAAAATAAAATGACAAAATAAATGCTTTTTATAAATTCTAAAAAAGATTTTTTTATTTAAATTGTAAACATAACAATTAAAAAAAAAAAGGAAAAACAAAAGTTTATTAATTCTAAATAAAATACTTAAAATAAAATGGGCAAAACAAACATCTATTTAGATTCCTAATAAACAGTAAAACGTTACATTTATTTTTCTAATTTTTTTTTTAATTTAAAAAATGCAACGTATCTAAAATGTCTTAGCATTGTAGCTAGCTGAAAAATAACAGCAATCTGTAGTTAGCTAATGACTACATATTGCAGCTTTGTAGCTAGTGATACTATTAGGATATACTGATAGCTACAGACCATAGGTATGTAGCTATCAACAATATAACAAAAAAGTTTAGTCGATATGGCTACAATGTTGTTACAATATATGGATAGCTAACATATAGTAACTTTGTAGCTTGTTAAAACACAATTATGAATCTGTATGCAGTCGATATTCAGCTAGAAACACAATTATGAATCTGTATGTAGTTGATATTTTATATTATTGCAGCTAACTATAACATAATAAAAAGTCTGTATTTATTTAATAGCTACATTTTGTAGCTCAAAATGGATGTTTAAAATAAAACTACCAAAATAATAAAAATTAAAGAAAGATAAAAAAACCATAAGCAAAAAACAATAAAACTTTGGGTTGTATATATAGAAATCTGATGTTGATTTACAATAACAATGTGTTGTGTAAAGATGGTTTATAAAGTCGTCTGCTGTAAATAGTAAGTATACAAGATAATATAACAACATGTAATAATAAAATTATAGTTTAGTAAGGTATAAATTTGAATATATGTAATAACTTATATATAAATATTAAAAGCTTATTTTCAGTACCTTATTTCTAGTTAGTGATCCTTATGGCCAAACTGCTGTTTTATTTATGGTTATGAGTTGTTAGCTAGTTGCTAGCTTATATAGCTAGCAATCTTTATGGTTAAATCGCTGTTTTGCTTATGTTTATGAGTTGTTGCTAGCTTATATAGCTAGCAATCCTTGTGGTCAAATTGCTGCCCTTTTAGCCATGAATATCGCTGGGTAGTCACTAGCAAAATTATTAAAGAAGAGAATAAGGTGAAGCAGATAAGCTATCAAGCCAGATTTTTGTACACATAGAGCATAAAGATACAAATGATTGGATAATTGCATTTTTGTTGTTGTTATTATTAGAGGTATATGTAAGAAAACTTGAAATGATTGTGTAAAAGACAACATGGCGAGACTGGGTTATTTTTGAGAGAAAAATTAAGAAAAAGTTAGCGAGATTTTAAGTAATGAAGAAAATTATGATTTATCTCAAATAATCAGCTCTGGCTACAAACCTGACCAATTCTCATTTTGTCAAACCAAGTTATGGGAAAATTAAACTCTGGTTGGTTACTACATTTTAAAACATAAGGGTGTGATAACAAATTAAATTCATATTTTAAGTTCATATTAAAAAATAATTATTGTGTTAAATGAAAATAATTTAACACAATAATTAAATTATACTTGATACTATAAAAATTAAATAAACTAACTCTTCCACTGATCGTGATCTTTTTTTTGAAATAACGATATCATTAACCATATCTGCATCTAAAAAATATTATTATTATAATTAAAGCATACTTAAATACCTTTTCAAAAATTTGACTTTTACAAATAAATTTGTTTGTTTATTTAGGTCTCATAAGCCATAAGTTTTTTTTGTTAAAAATGATGTTATCCATAAAATAAATTAAAGTCTTTGTATAAATAAGAACTTGAAGAAAAACATGTAAAAGTCTTTTTAATAATAAAACTAAAAAAAATAAAAAAACACAACTTTGATACCATTTCATTATCTAACAAATTTTATATAGCATCAATTTTCTGAGGTTGCAAAAGATAAATTTAACTGTTTATAGTTTAAAATTTGACAAATAAATTTGCTTCTAGGGTAATATCTGTAGTAAATAAAAGAACTTGCAAAACGTGTGTTATTTATTATTTTCTAATAAATATTTTATTTTTTATTGTGCTTTTTATTAATTTTATGTTTTTAATTACTCTTAAATCAAAATTTTTCAAACTTTTATCAATCTATATTAGAAATAAAAGAAATTAAAAAAAATTATAATAGACCTAATATCTAATAGACTTAAAATAACCTAATAACTTAATAACCTAATTGACCTAATAACCTAATAGATTTGAAATAAATTCAAAATTAAACATGTAAATTGTTGGCTCAAGTAATTTACTAAATTTTTAATATAAATAGTAATATAAATGTAAACAAACTAATCAAGTTGGATAATTAAAAAAAAATTAGAGTATTTAAAACATAAAAAGAGTATTAAATAGTTATGACAAGAGTTAACTAATAAGTTTAACAAGTTAGTAAGTTACAAATTACATCAAGGTATTAAATTCATCAAGTATAAAAAATAAATAAACTAAATTGAAAATACAAGCACACTAAAAATTAATTATTTGATAATACATCAATTACCTAAACATTAAATACATTAAGTACATATACCTGTTATGCTTTGTTGTTGCATTATATGCGTATTGTATTTGTTTGTCTTATAAAAAAATATTTATCATCTAAATAAATGTAAACTACATAATATAAAAGCACATAACAACAAAATTTATAATGCAGACTAAAGTTTTCAAATAACTTTAAAATTCTTACACACATCTTGGCTTTGTGTATAAGAATTATAAAGTTATTTGAAAAAAAAAATCTGGATCATATATAACCAGATAGCTTTTGAAATTACAAGAATAATAAACTAGTCTGTTCTATATTATAAATGTTTTTAAGTTCAAATTTTCTATAGAATACAAAACCTGGGCACAAAACCATATGCTATTATTTTGAAAATAGTTTTGTTTATTTAGCACAGAGCATTTGAGTTCATATTTAAAATATATTTATAAAATATGCTAGCCACTGATGCTAGTCTCATTTTGTTAAAAAAAAAATCATAACCATGTAATATTGTTGCAGCAACTAATTTCAAAGAAGCAATCCAATTTTTAAAAAACTAAATAATTTTCATAGCGTTCACTTTTGATACATGACTCTTATTATGAAATGATCGACCAAACAGGTGTAATACTCATAAGGTGAAAAAAATAATTGCAAATATAAAATAAACAGAAGTAAAGTGTATCGTTGAGGTAGATCAATAAGGTGAAAAACATGCGTTTATGTTTAAAAGGAATTTTATTGTTTACGTTTTTGCGAAAGGAGAGACATGCGCGTTTAATAGAAGGGAAAACTTTTAATAAGCGTAAGTTATCTCACGTTAAAGAATTAAAGCTAAAACAGTGTGTACTCTGTTACTAAGTGTAAAGGTTGGAGCAAGTACCATTTCTTGTATTTACAACTCATTACCTATAAAACAAAAGATATACCTAATGAATCTTTTGTTTTCTGTGCTAATTAAAATGAGTGAAACCTAATTGATCATTACGTCTAACACGGACGAAAAAAATTTGTATTTTAGACGCCATTTGAAGGTGAGTTTTAGCTGATTTTAAAACTCGACTTCAAAAATTGAAGAAATGGACAGATGGAGAAAAAAACTATTGCTTTAAAATAAAACTTTACAATAGAAAATTTTTTAAATAAAAGTATATTAATCTATTAACACTGAAAGACGCAACTAAAAGTGCATTATTCACAAAGGGTCCACCCATAAATGATGTCAGTAAATGAGAGGGGGTGGGGTGATGAAAACTTGACAATAATTGATAGCGGGGAAGGGGTATTAAGTTCAAAATATGTCAATATTAATAATGTTTTTTTAAATATTATATCTGTAGCCATTAGTCACTTTATGATGAGTGCAAATATGATATTTTGCAGGAGAAAAGTTTTAAAATTTGCCATAAATAGGGTAATAATGAAAAATATATTTTTTTTTATAAAAATGAATTATTTTTTTTAAAACTACAGCAATTATACTTTGACCAAATGAAACATCTAACGAAATATAACCAAAACTGCATACTTATCTCAAAATGACCAATTTTGCACTTATCATAAATTGACCAATCGCCAGAGATACTCCATCTATGCGTAGATTTAAAATCAAATCACAGATATCACAGATCACAGATATTTATTCCATCTATGCGTAGATTTAAAAAAAGTTGATAAAAAAATAAAAGTAATATCATTAAAAAATAATTTTATAAAAAAATAATGGTAAATACGCATTTTAAATTTTATATTCGAACAGGAGGGAATAAAAAAACTGACATCATTTTTAATGTGTGTGTATGTGTGTGTGTGGGGGGGGGGGGGTTGTTGGCCAAAATTTGACAGAGTTTAACAAAATGACGAAGAAGTAAAACCAGGAAAAAAAACAATCATCATTTATGGACGGCCCCTAAAAGTACTTTTGACATATTACTTAGGTTTTTTTTATTCTTTCATCCCTATTCTGATTCCTTCATCCCTATTGTTTTTTGTATTAACTGCCAAATTCAATATACTGAATTCATATAAAGACGCAACTGACGGTTACCACTGGAAATGCAAAGGTTGCAAGGAAAGGCGAAGTGTTCGGCAAGACTCCTTTTTTAGCCAGAGTAGACTTTCCTTACAAACATTACTATATTACATATATGGGTGGAGTCGTAATATGCAGAAAAAGATCCAGAATGCTTTTTTAAATCAAAATAATTTAGTTAAATCACAGAATGATCAAGACATTTATTTTTGTTAAATTAAAAACGTATTTTTAATACAAATGTAGAAGAAGCTTTCAGGTGTAAAAGAACTTTCAAATGTAAAAGGAGTTTTTTATGGCATCTCAAAATAATGAATGAAGGGTAATCCTGCAGTTAAGCGGCCTAAAATAAAAGTATGTTTTAACTTTACACGCTCTCGTTCGCGGAGACTTAAAAACTTTTTTATTATTAATTGACAAAAATATTTTTTGCATGGTGATTAACGAAAATTTTTATTAAATTTTTTATAAACATTTTTATTTGATTGTTTGATTTTTATTTTAAATAGTTTAACTATTTTTTATAATTTTATCTAACCACAATAATAATAATGAATAGGGAGTAGTAACTTTGGAACCGAACTTCGATTATTATTAGCTTCGTTCTTAACTGGAGTAAACCATTTTTCTAGCTAGTTGTTCTATGAGACAACTAGCTGAAGGAGAATAAACAATAAACAAAATAAAGTAAAAGTTGTATATAAATTTTTTAAAAACAAAAACAGTTACAAGCGAAAAAAATTTATCAGAGCTACAAAAACTTATTTGAAAAAATTTGCAAAAATTCGAAGAAAAACTATTACTACCAATTATTTAATACATTTAAAAAAGAACACAAAGCCCACGTAAAAAATAATGAAATAAATTATTGGCAAAAAAAAAAGTCATACTTCGGTTTTCTTCCACAAATGGTTAGAGTCGATAACAAAAGTTTACAAGAACTATAGCTTAAGAATTTAACAAATTTTTCACTGATATTGGACCAACACAGTTCGAAAAAATCTTTTAGATTAAATCTTTATTTTTACTGATTATATAGTAACCATGGGTAATTGCATTTATCAGATAAGTTGTCTTCCAAATAAATGTTTGATGAGTTTTGAAGAGCCTTCAAATCTGTTTAAAAAAATAAAATATTGGAAATCAAATAATGGGAACATGGTTATAGAATAATTTGAGCAATCAAATTATGTTCTTTTTTAAAATCTTGAGTATAAAATTATTTTCATGATAATAATCTACTTTAAATCAATCAATTTGGTTTCTTAATATAACCTGTGGAGTCCCACGAGATTCAATTTTTAAACCTCTCTTTTTTTAATTTGTATAAACCACTTAAATAAAGCCACAAAACTAACGAGCATTTTGTGTGCAGATAATACAAGCTTACTCCTTTATAACTATGATATCACTGAACTTTTTTAAACAGTGTACGAAGAACTCAGACATGTACCAGGTTCAATTGTAATAAGTTAACCTTAAATACTATTAAAACAAAATGGGTTTTATTTCATTTGATTAAAAAAAGCGATTTTTACCATGAAGATTACCTCAGATCTATATCGATCAAAAGGAAATAAAAAAATATTTTGTTACAAAATTTTCAGGTGTTTGACTTGATGAAAACATTACTTGGAATCATCATATTGATAATACAAGTACAAAGGTTTCTAAAAACATAGGGATTTTATATAAATTCAAAGTTTTTATTTAAAAATATCAAAGTGCCTAATATTTATGAAGTAAATGTATATAAAATATTATGTTTTATATTTCAATGTAAAATCAACCTATCATTACACATTGTTAAAGATTTTACTACCTTAAAAATAAAAAATGTGTATACACTACGAAATGATTTACTCTATGAACCCTCTTGTCGAACAAAATTCAATCAGTTCTGTATAGCTTATCGTTAACCTAATCTCTGGAACAAAATCGTTTTACCTAATTTTGATTTATCAATTACCTTCCCAGTCTTTAAAAAGAAGTTAAAAGAATTTATTCTATTTAATGACAATATTTCGAAAACTTTTAAAAATTAGAAATTTATATAAACACGCTCTTTTAATTTTGTGTTTTGTCATTTTTATATTTATTAATGGCTAAAGATATATTTTATTATAACGTCATATGGTTCTGGCGACAAGATCATTAGATCTTCTATCAGATACCAAGTTTATATTTAAATTAGTCTACTCATTTCTTTTTTTGTTATTTTTATTTTTATTCTTGTTGAAATGGTGATTATATTCTTTATTATAATTTAGTAAAAGTATAAAAATTCAAATATTTGTAAATGTCACACTTTATATATGTATATAAAAATTATGTACAAAATGTATGTGTATATGTGTGTATATATATTTATATGTGTAAGTGTGTGTATTTACGTGTATATGTACGTGTGTACATATAAATAAAAATTAATAAAAATAAATTATCAGACCGGAACAAATTGGTCAAAACAGCAATTTTTCAATAACTACCTCTTTATTGCTTGTCAAGAGTTTGAGACGATTTAAAAGAAGAAAAAAAGTGTAAATTTATTAAAACTGAAGAAAGAACTTGAGATGATTTAAAAGAAGAAAATGATAACATTTTTTTAAAAAAATTGAAAACTTGGATAAATGTTTAACAGCCGAAAATAACTGAGAATTCGAACACATTTATAACCGGATATAAAATCCAAAGCTAAATTTAATTGATTGACGCTAAGGACTAAGGTGCTGATGTTTAATAAATATTTTTTAAGTTTAAAATTTCACGCAATACTCAAAAAAGCAATAGAAGTTAATTAACACACGATATTCGAAACATGAGACGCTATCAACACACAATTCTCGAAACATCCCAGTGGGTACGGGACGTAAAAATGACGTCCTTTGGACGTTCAATCAGCGTCCGTCCGTCCCTTTTAAATTCTAAACGTCTTTTGAACGTCTTTTTCGCGTCCTATAAATTTTTTCGTCCAAAAAAGATCCAGAATGCTTTTTTAAATCAAAATAATTTAGTTAAATCACGGAATGATCAAGACATTTATTTTTGTTAAATTAAAAACGTATTTTTAATACAAATGTAGAAGAAGCTTTCAGGTGTAAAAGAACTTTCAAATGTAAAAGGAGTTTTTTATGGCATCTCAAAATAATGAATGAAGGGTAATCCTGCAGTTAAGCGGCCTAAAATAAAAGTATGTTTTAACTTTACACGCTCTTGTTCCCGGAGACTTAAAAACTTTTTTATTATTAATTGACAAAAACATTTTTTGCATGGTGATTAACGAAAATTTTTATTAAATTTTTTATAAACATTTTTATTTGATTGTTTGATTTTTATTTTAAATAGTTTAACTATTTTTTATAATTTTATCTAACCACAATAATAATAATGAATAGGGAGTAGTAACTTTGGAACCGAACTTCGATTATTCGTTCATGTGTAGAAAGTCTGATTACTGATTATTGTGAAGATTCGGATCGGGGAGTGAAATTAATGCTGTGACTAACACACCCAATGATGACCATGATGATTAAATATATTTATAAAAAATGTAAATGTATATTTTTTAATGTTTAATGCCATAATGTTTTTCGATAATTTGTGGCTATGAAAATAGCCGTTTTAATCGTGGCAATGAAAATAGCCGTTTTAAAAAGGGTACTGACGGGACACGCATGTAATAAAAGCAGAAAATATCGGAACATCTTTATATCGTTGACGCCACATAAATTCATGCAGGTGTGAGGTAAATAAATTTTCGTGTGTTTCAAATTGCTGCGCAGCTTGCGCTTGACTCGCATCCATAAGTTTTCAATGTTTTGCGTATGAGTGTCGTTATCTAGGGGATTGACAAAATTACGCTTATGAATAACAACTGAATGGGAATAAATTCCATCTTGTAGATTTTCATTTTCAGCGTAAGATGCCCAGCCATCTGACACAATATGAGTTCCAGGCAAAATATTTTGTAATATCGCGTTTTGAAGACTTTATGGAGACCGATCTGGTGCTTCTACCAAAAAGCACTTTCGCGAAACCATTTCAAGACCACCAAACACCCAATAACCTGGTCGCCATTTGCCCGCAATATTTACGATGGAAAAACTTTGATTCATCGATTTCAACCACAACTGCAGTCCCGTCAGTGTTAAAATCTCCAATAACTGCTGGGTTAGTCTCTAGATCTACTTCACATACATCTCTGCAAAAGTTGGCCAAGTCAGCTAATGTATGAGAGGCATCATTCATACCGGCTTCATGTTGGATATCTTTTTGCGGCATATTACGACTCCACCCATATATGTAATATAATAATGTTTGTAAGGAAAGTCTACTCTGGCTAAAAAAGGAGTCTTGCCGAACACTTCGCCTTTCCTTGCAACCTTTGCATTTCCAGCGGTAACCGTCAGTTGCGTCTTTATATGAATTCAGTATATTGAATTTAGCAGTTATTACAAAAAACACTATTTTTAATCAATCTTCGCTGTGCTAGCCATTGCAGAACAGGTAGTGGTTGTCTAATACTGGATCCGAGATCCAGTAAGCGCCAGTTTTCTTGTAAAACCTGTTGTTCTTTTGTAATTTCGTCAACGATTGTTGTTGGTGCACTTGGTTTCCCACGACGAACTTGTTGCAGTGCCATCTAAAAAAGAATTATTAACATTTTTCCTACAACTTGTTTTTCTCCGTAGCATAAATTTTTATAAGTTTCTAAAAAAATTATAACTAAATCAAACAATTATTTTGTAAACGTATTTACCTGATATTGCGAATCAAAATATATTTTAAGATAAAAAGCTGACAAATATTATTTTTCAACAGAAAGTTGTAAAAATCGCTTCCTTGTTTAATTTCCTTCTCCATCAAATTTTAATTATCCTTTCGATTAATTTAATTCCACGCTTCATTAGTAATTTTCAATTTTCTTTTTTTAAGTTACATATAAATTTCTCCACCGTAGATTATAAATAGATAAAAAAAAATTATTTTAGGCCGCTTAACTGCAGGATTACCCAAGTCAATAATACAAAAGTGTTTTCTATACAATAAAAAATATAAATAAAAACTGTATAAAATCTTATAATGGTTACAAATTTTGTAAAATATGTTCCGTTTATAAATCTTATGAAGGAATAATTGTGTTTAATAAGGAAATTTTTTACAAACCTATCTCTTATATAAGTCTACTGTTACAACTGGTTTAGTTTTTTAAATTAAATTCATTTGAATCTTTTCCAAAAAAAGGCATTAGTTGTTTTTTTCAACATTTCAAAATCTGCTTTAAACAATCCTTTGAAGATTAATTTCGCTATTTTAATTAACTTCGCTATTTTATTTTTCGTTCTTAAAAAATTCTAAATAAATAATTATAATTAAAATCAATATTTATATTTATTATTTAATGAAATTTATTTTTTAGTAACTTATCCAACTTCAAATCAGAATGAGAAAAATGTGTTTAAAGATAGAAAAGAGTTGATATTTTTTTCTATATAAATGAATTTTTGATTATTTACTTCATATACTTAATGGACCATTAGTGGCAGCAGCCAAAAGTGGATAACACAAGTAACCACTATATCACTTGTTGGAATGTTATCGGCTGGCCATTTAAGTAATTTACTAAGTAAACGATGAGTTAAATTCCATTTAACTTCTCAGGATGTCTTTATAGGTCCACTGAAAATCCGCTGCAACAATGTTTGCTGATAAAGTTTCAATATGTAATCATTTGATTATTGTTGTATATATTTCCCAATCCTCCTTAAAAAGGTTCCCAATCCTCCTTAAAAACCTTAAATATCCTTGGGAAAAAAAACATCCTTGAAAGTCCTTAAATAACCTTTAAAAAAGTTAAAATTTGCTCTCCTTAATTTACTTTTCTATAAATTTTTGTTTTATTAATTAAAAATTTATTTATAAACATATATAATATATATGTATTGGTCATAAAAACTTCTATTATGTATGTAACTCTTTATTTTTTGAGTTTATTTTTATATAATTTTTAAGGGAGTTGTCAAGTATATAGTATATATAAGTATATATATATATATATATATATATATATATGTATATATATATATATATATATATATATATATATATATATATATATATATATATATATATATATATATCTACTATAGTATATTTATATGCTCAATTGCTCACTTTTTTTGCTGCCTAAATTAAGAGAGCATTTTTAGAAAACGATGAGGGAAAACGAAGAATAATGAATGAAAAGGTTGCTGACCCATACCAAACCCTCAGTCGATGTAGCAGCACTCCACTGCGAGTCAGGCTATTTGTCAGTCGATGTATGTACTGAAGCCCCCGGCAGCAGGCTATTTTACGTTAGGTGAGTATGACATCATCACGCTCACAAAAAGCAACAGAAAGTTGATTAAATGGATCTTCCTATCAAAATACTTACCCATTAAATAATCTCGTTAATAACAATGATAAACTCTACTTTAGTCAAGTAAAATATATAGTCACTAAATTTCTACAAGTTACTCAATTTCTGCAAGTAAAATTTTATAAATGCAACAAATTTTAAAGGTCGTAAATATTTTATAAACATAACTGTAATCACCATTAAGAGCTATTGACATTAACAAGTTATAAAGCTAAAAATGTAAACTATATTATTGAAATATACAATATAAAAACTAAAAAAGTATAATAAATTAAAAAAAAAATCACGAATCTACATCAATAAGAAAGTCCAACTTATTGTACTTTTAACTTTTTAATATGTTGGTTTACGTCATACATATTTACGTCTGTACAAAATTCTCATAAGAAGAACTCCGCTTCTTCTGAAGAACGATGCTCTTGATCTTCCTTCAAATATACAGATTATTTCAAAATTATGTAAATGTTTAGTAATTTTTTGTTTATCCTTGTTAAATGCTTATTTAAAGTTTTAACGACAAGATCCTTGCGATCTTCTTTCAGATACCTTTATCAGGAAGAAAGTTTATATTTGTTATATTGTCTATCACTGTAAGTTTATATTATTTTTTTTTTATTAGTTATATAAAGTTGTATAACGACCAATAAGTGTAATCCAAAAAAAAAATTATTAAATATTTTATGATTATTTAATAATTTTTTGCAAGTTTTATAGCGTTTTGTACCATTTTTAAAACAGTTTGGAGGAAGTGTTAAAATTTAAATTTTTAAATTTTTTTTTAATAATTCTGTTTCTAAAGAGCTATTTAATCTAAATAAAACGGGCTCTATTCTTTAAAAAAAAAAAAAAAAATTAAAAAGTGTTTTGAAAAAACTCAAAATCAATAAATATTTTATAAAAACAAATACTTTTACGCTGCACTTATTTAGGTTTTTCTTAAATAAAACTCTAAATCTTTTCAGTAAAGAATATGTTTTATTGAAATATATTTTATATATAAAATTTTGTTTTTTAGATTAAATAGTAAAAAAACTAATAAAATGCCACCGAATAAAAAATTTAGAAGTAATAAATTGGATGAAATATTTTTAGTTAAAAATTTAATCTTCAAACTTCCAGTATAGAAATTTGCCACTGCTAAAGAGGCAATTCAATATTATCTCTTTCTAAAAAATTCAAAAAGTGAAGCAAAAGTAAAGTGCTTAGTAGGTTGTCCTAACAAAAGTTCTTCTTTTATACCTAACTGCCCAGTTAATCAGTCTAACTGCTGCATACTATCTAAACTGATGGATCCTTTGATACTAGGTGGATTTAAAGTGCTTACAACACAAAAGCTAAGGTAACTTTTATTATTGCATTCTAAATCAGTTTAATCTATAAACCTTTATACAAGTAAATATTGTTTTTAAAGAATTAAAGTTGAAAAGTTGTTAAAGGAGTGGGTGAAATTAAAAGATAAAAGAAACAGAACAAATCTTGCTGAAGTAAAAAAGAGACACTTATTTGAAGAACAAATGAATAAAGTATTTTGGATTGGAGAACATCCTCATGTAATGTTTGGGGAAATACTAAAAGATAAAAAGAGAAAAGAGTGAAAGACAAGGAAGAAGATATTGCTTTTTTAAAAGACCAACTTGGGGAAAGGAAAGGATGTCTTGGCGGTAGAGATAAAAGATACAAGTATTCTGTTGAAAGAAGCAAATCAAATTTTGAAAAAAAGCTATTAGCAGAGTTAGATACAAATGATTTAGATTATCTAAGTTCTTCTAGTTACACTAGCGAAAATTTAGGCCAAGAAACAGATATCGACTTTGATATTAATGAGGTTCCTAATATTCAAAATTCTGTTCTTCTTCCTAAAAATATACTTAAGTCTACCGCTCATACTGCAGTTGGGGAGGGTATAACACCGCACCAACATACAGCTTTGATTAGTAGTGTTATTGTCATGGCTGGTGGTTCTGTAGCAAACTTTAGATGTTCTAAATCCACATCTTATAGAGCTGCAGAGAACATAATATCTGCCGGAGCAAAAGAAATAAGAGAATATATAAAAAGCACTGTAGTATCATCGAACTCACTAATGACCATACACTTTGATGGAAAAATAGTAAATAAGTTAACGGCCGGAAAGCAATTAAGAAAAGATAGAATTGCAGTTTTGGTGAGGATTGATGGGAAAACAGAACTACTTGGCATTCCTCCAATAGAGTCTAGTTCAGGGGATAATCAAAAGCAAGTAATTTTTGAATTAATGGAGTTTTTTGGATTAGAAGATAATGTTCAATGTTTCTGCTTCGACACAACTTCAGTAAATACAGGAGTTTGGCAAGGTACTTGCATGAGATTAGTTCGTCAAATTCAACGCCCATTGTTGCTGATTGCATGTAGACATCATGTAATTGAGCGTCAAAACCCTAGCAGCAAAACTTCTGGTCCAGAAAATAAGCCATTTGAATTTCTAAAAAAAATTGGAACTGTAAAGATACTGAAACTAAAGAACTGAAAAGAATATTAATACCACCTGGAACATGGATATACACTCATTTCCCTATTCTATACAGAGTGGTTTCTAACGTCAGAGCTAAGCTCTTTAGCACCAGCACAGGTATATGGTCTTTCAGTATTTTATTGAGAAGTTGGGAAGCTTGTTATTGATTAAAATGGTTTAAATATTTATTAATATTATTTACTAGGATATGAAAGCTTACTGGCAAATGAAAAGGTTTGAAGAATGGAATCTACTTGGCTCCCAAGCTGTTGCGAGCTCTATTCTCAGACATTCTTGGTATCTAGATCCCACTTTGGTAGTTTTCGCCCTAGCTGATGAAAAATGTATGGAACGCAGTAATATGGAGGAAAAAACTGCATATTTTACCAAGATGTCCAAATGAAAATTTCCCTTTGGAGCGCCAAATAATGGACCAATCTGTATTGAAAAGTCTTAACTTCAGTAAACATGAGCCTCCCAGTTCAGCTCCATTAATAACAGACAAGTCGTGGCTAATTTTTGACATGCTTAGACATAGAAAGGCAGAAACTCAATGGATGAAGACACCTCCAGAGTTTTGGAAATTTAACGATTTTTATCTAGAATTTAGAGCAACAGTCATAGGACTTGATGTTGTTAATGACTGCTCTGAGAGGGCGGTTAAATTAGTTCAAGACCTAATAAATAGAGCATATTCCGAGGAGGATATCCCTTCTCTTTACAAATAATTACAAGAAAAACAGAAAAAGTAAAAAAAAAAAAAGTTAATTACGAAAAGGCCGCTAGCAGAAAGAAAATCTAGTTGTTTTTTTTTAAAAATTTTAAAAATCTTTGTTTTAATTAGATAACTTAAATAGAGATAATCATTTATTTACTGGGATTTCAATTTTAAACAAATTTTACTTTTGGTTTAAAGTTTCTTGTAATTTTATAAATTTTTAATTTTTTTTAGTTAGAGAAAAAAAAATTGTTTTTTGTTTTTTTGGTTTTGACTATTTCATTGCATTTTATTTCATTCCCAATCTTGGCCCTCTCTTTTTTATATTTCCTAAAATAAACCCTGCAGCTGAATACAATTGATTTTAATATAGTTCTGCATAAAAACCTAATCCAAAATAAAACCTACTCAAGATTTTTCTTTTAATGTTTATGGGTTTTATAAAATCCAAAATACCCTAAATTTAAGGTTTTTCAAAACAATTAAAAATTTTTTTTTTTTTAAAGAATAGAGCCCGTTTTATTTAGATTAAATAGGTCTTTAGAAACAGAAATATTAAAAAAAATTTAAACATTTAAATTTTAACACTTCCTCCAAATTGTTTTAAAAATGGTACAAAACGCTGTAAAACTTGCCCATATTACCCCTGGAGGGACCCTTAGGATTTTTGAAAAAAAAAAAAAATCCTTAGTACTAAATCATGGTCTGGGCAGATGATAAGCTAGGGCTCTTTTTTTTTTTCAGACATGACTTTTTTTTGACACGCCCTATTATATATATATATATATATATATATATATATATATATATATATATATATATATATATATATATATATATATATATATATATATATATATATATATATATATATATTTATATCTATATATATCTTTTTTTATGGCTAGTGGTAATTGCCGGCAGTGCTGGCAAATAATTCTGAGATTAATTGCCGGCAGCGCGTCTAAAGAAGCAATTTAAATGCAATAAATACAGTAATTTGGTTAATTTGTTGGCTTTGTTGTTAGAGAAACAATTTAAATTATATATTTATTTATTATTATATATTTATTTATTTAATTTACTTTTATAAATTTTTTTACGCCAGTATTAAAAAAACGAAGCCTTTTTTTTAATTATATACTGCTTGGACAAACCAAAACTCTCAGTCAATCTATGTACACTTTATACAGGTCTAACCCTATCAAAGTCAGTCGGTGGTATGTACATTTCACTTTGCCCATCCCTATTTAAGTTAGTCTTTGTATTTAGACTTTGCTGCGCTTATTCCTAAATCAGTCGTAAGCATACACTGCTTCACCTACGGCTATATCAGTTAATGTATGAACACTTTGAGGCACCAGTTAAACTTAAATGTAATAAATGGTAATTATTAATAAACAAAAATTAGTAAACACTAACGATGGGTAGTACTAATAAAAATTAGTACTAATAAAAAATTAGTACTAATAAAAATTAGTAATGTTTGAAATAAAACATTAATTTTCATGAAAAAAGAAAGATTAACTGGCAGCATCGATCTCGGGACGTCGCTCGTATAAGATATTATCATGTCCACTAAGCTACGCAGCATGTGGTTATGCGCTGTTATTAATATTATATTTTTAATTATCCTGCCGGCAATTAATCTCAGAATTATTTCCTGACACTGCCGGCAATCACCTTTTGCGTTTTTTTATGTACATGTATATATACAAATATACAAGGTTGGTGTTTTGTGGTGGTGATTAATAGAACCAAAATTGATTAAAAGGGTGAAGATCCCCAACCCATTCAAATAATTTTTATACTATTATTAGGCAAGTTAGAGTTTTTTTAGATTCAGTCTTTTTTAGATTCAAAACGGGACTATTTATCTCCAGTCTCTAGAACTTCTATTTATTTTGATAAAGCTACTTGTCATCAAGAACTTACTCAGTTTTTTCCGATCAAAATTACTTTCAATGTATCTATATCTCAAATTGACAAGTGTGTATAGATACTTGTAAATATTTGATAGAACAATCGTGGAAAAACCAAATTAACTATCAATATTTGTTTTAAGAAATGCGTCAGGACTACGAGCTTGAATCTCTTGTAAAGGAGTTTACTACAAAAATATTTACACCAGATTAAAACAATTTTTATCA